CAATTAGGAGGTGGTTGGTTACCTGAGACCGTTTTGCATGGCAACCTGCAATTTCTTAAATGGCAAATTAGTCATTAGCATTTATTTGCATCTCCATAGAGAAATATAATTTATGCTAATGATGTTCTCTCTAACAAACCATAGAAGCAATGCGGCTGAATCCCCCCTCACACCCCTCTGTTTGCTGCACAAGCACAGCTGGCATTTGGTGCAGATGCCATGGCACGTTCTGGGGGGAAGCTGTGGGCGGTCAGCTGCCCACGGTCCTCAGCCAGGAGCACACAGCAGAGCCACTTCAAGGGGCTTTAAAAAGAGAAGGAAGGAAGGAAGCGGGAGGAGGCTGGGGCCTGACTCCCACCCCTGCCCCGAGATTCTGATTCGACTCAGTCCAGCAGCACCTGGCACAGATACTAGTATCTCCAATGGGCAGCCATGGTCGGCAACCACGCATATGGCCACACTCCTCATTTATAGGCGGGAAGTCTGGCACCTTCCATGGGGAAGTGACGGAACAGAAGTCAAGAAAACAGCCAGTGGCAGAGACCATACCGGCCCCCACTTTCCTGACTCCCAAACCAATAGGTTTGTACCACAGAGTTCATCGCCGCATGCATGCACATGTGTTCACACACATCACACACACACACACCAATCAATGACATCAAGCTTTCAGATTAAGAAAATGAAAACAACCCACAATGAAGAGACCAAACAAATGTTAAAGTTTGGGTCTAGTTGTTCTGTTTGTGATTCTTTTAAAGAGTGAAGAATCCAAACAAAGTGTCGATGCGCCTTCGCTTGTGGCGGAGGAGCCTGCGGCCCGCTGAGAAGTTGGCATAAGCAGCTCGAGGCCCTGACCCCGACCTGACTGGGCCAGTAGGAGACGCGTGGCTCAAGGGGTTAAGGCCAAAAGCCAGTCGGGCCAATCAGATTACTAGATGGAGCCAGTGATGGGCACCAGACACAGGAGACTGACAGCCAGCCCGCCGGCCCGCCGCCTGCTGGAGAGCATTTCTGTTCCCTGAACACGCCAGGCAAAACCCTGCCCAAGTCCTCAGCGCTGCAGGGGCGCCCGCCGCCAGCCACAGGAAGCCTGCAGGGAGGGGGCTTCCCGGCCACCACAGCAGGCCTGGCGCAGCCAGTACAGAGCGCCTGCCTCCGCGCACTGTGACGGGGAGGAGGCTCCACCCAGACGCACCGAGCAGCAGTGCGCACCTGCCCACGGACGCCCGGGCTCTGGCCTGCTGCGTGCTCCCGGGCTGCGCTCCTCTCGCTGCTTATTCACAGTGACACGCAGTCCCTCCAGCACCACCAGTTACAGAGCCACCCGAAGCCACAAGCTCAGGTCGCATCCACGACACCCGCGTGGCACAGGGCTCCATGTCCTGCACCCCAGAAGACGCAAAAGCAGTCCTCAGCCTTTTAACGCGTCGGCAGTGCCAGCCCAGAGGCAGGCAGGATCAGCCGGTGACTCCATGGAAATTCAGGGCCCAGAGCCGCTCAGAGGGAGGCCACACCCGCAAATGGCCGCGTCTGGGCGCATTTCTCCTGACTCGGGGCCCTGCCCTGCGCGCCCGTCATGCAGACCGCCCCCCACCCCCGAGGCTGAGAAGTATGACGCGTGATCCGACCATAGAGCCCAAGATGCAGTAACAGGAGCCAAAAACATGCCAAGCCTGGTGCCCCTGCAGTGAAGCCCACGCATTGGACACGTGTGTGTGTGCACGCGCGCACGCACAAGTGGAGCTGGGCCCACTGCCACTCATCCCCCTTCACGAAGGGAGGCTCAGGACCGGGTTCCTCTTCCTCCTGAGAGGCCCGTTCACGGCGCTTCCCAGTCCTCAGCTCAGGAGCCCACTCCCTGCCGCTCAGAGGTCTAATGAGCCTCCTGGTCAGGCTGCGTGGCAGCCTGCCCCTGTGAGGTGCCCTGCCCCTGTGAGGGCAGCGTGGGCGACAGCCTGTTGCTAACTCCCCAGAGGACGGTGCCAGGAGGCGGGCCCTTTCCTGCTGCTGCTGGATCTCCTGAATGAATGCCACGAGCAGTGCCCATGCCTGAGTGAATGGGCACGGACCTTGTGCAGGGCACACGCAGCTGCAGTCGCCGTCACGGGGTGCAGGCCTACGAGGGAAGTAAGCTACTTCTGTTCTACACGTCTCCCGGCTGAGTGCTGATCATACAATGTGTCCACATGCTATTTGCATGATCTACTTGGAAGTAGAACATGAAGGGCCTAAAGGGTGGTGGACCCCTTCCCTTCTCACAAAAGCCCCTGCCTTGCCCTCACCGGTTTGGCTCAGCAGATAGAGCATCGGCCTGCGGACAGAAGGGTCCCAGGTTCGATTTTGGTCAAGGGCATATGCCTTGGTTGCGGGCATATCCCCAGTAGGGGGTGTGCAGGAGGCGGCTGATCGATGTTTCTCATCGATGTTTCTGACTCTCTACCCCTCTCCCTTCCTCTCTGTAAAAAAATCAATAATATATATATATTTTTAAAGCCCCTGCCTTGGTGCGCTCCCCAGAGGCCACATGGAAGGCGTACCCCCTTGGGATGGGGGAGGGGGGAGCCCTCTGGGGGAGGGCACACACCACTGGCCCTGCAGGGGGAGGGCAGACTGCAGACTGCCATCAAGATCCAGGGCACAGCCTGGCCTCGAGGCTCAGTGGTTGAGCCAGGTGAGGGTTCCATTCCCTGTCCAGGCACATGCCAGGGTTGCGGGCTCGATCCCCAGTGGGGGGCATGTAGGAGGCGGCCGAGGAGTGATTCTCTTATCATTGATGTTTCTCTCTCTCTCCCTCTCTCTCTGTCAGCCTGAATACCCACCCATGCATAGACCACGTAGCTCATCCCCTCACCTGCCGGTCGCATTGGCTGCTGCCCACGCCCGTGAGTAATGCCACCGTGAATTCGGGTGCAATGTCCCTGCATCCTGCTCTCTGCCCATTCAGCTGTATCCTCAGAGCCTCCCAGGACAGATGGTCACTTCACACCTACCTTTCTGAGAGCTGCAGACCTGCTTTCCGCAGCGGCTGCGCCGTCTTACGTCCACGCACTGTGTGCGAGGGTCCCGCCTCCACACCCTCGCCAGTGCCTGTCTGCTGGCTTTGGTACAGGGCCAGCCCAGCGGCGAGGGGCTGCGTCTCCCCCCGCCCCCCATGCAGCACCGCTGGCCCCGGAACAGCACGGTTTGCGCTGCGCGGCCCGCGTAGCTCAGGTTCTTTCTCAACACACAGTCGCCCCCGCACCCCTGGCTTCCCAGCTGAGGGTTCCACCAACCGATCGGACACAGTATGTTCTTTTATCCCCGCCCGAGGGTATTTTTCCCATTGATTTTTGGAGAGAATAGAAGGGAGGGGGTAGAAGAGAGAGAGATAAACATTGATGTGAGAGACACACTGACTGGGGCCAGGATCGAACCTACAACCCAGGTGTGTGCCCTTGCCTAACTTCAGAACATGGGCTGGTTCTCTAACCACTAAGCTCACCCGCCAGTGTGGGAAACAGTATTTCCACCTGCAGGTGGGAATGCTGGGAGTCATGGGTGCAGAGCCGCTGTATGTTGTCCCCATTTTATAGCAGAGCCTTGAGCCTCCTGGGATTCGGGTTCCCCAGGGGCCCAGAGCCAATCCCTGCAGACACGGGACCCTACCCCACGCAACCATTTCATTTCACTTGTTGGTCTGTTGGGCTTTTAAAAACACATATGAGGTTAATAAAATTATATATTTCTACCTACATCCCAAGAAAAGAACAGAGTACAGAGAGAAAGGAACCCAGTGTCTGACCACAGAACATTCTGGACTCCACGCCATGGCCGCCACCCTGCTCTGCCCGCCCGCTGGCAGGCTGCATGCCTTCACAGTGGCCACACGGGTCCAGGCAGCACTGCTGTCCTCCCTCATCAGCTACGCAGCCCGGCCGGCTCTGCAGTCAGCCCCCGCTGTGATCGCAAGGCTCGAGGCGGTTTCCCAGCCTGGTCCTCTCTGCACTGTTTACCAAACTTCACCTTGGATCTGCCTGTGCGCACTGCTAAAGGGCAAATGTGTATTCACGCGAATAAAAGGCGGGCCAGGCCAGAAGTCAGGGAGTCTCTTCAAGAAAGAGGCTCCCCCTGGCCCCCACGCCTTCTAAATTCTTATTTCTTGTCCAGCATTTTCATTTGTGTGTCGGCCCCTCCGTCAGAGCCTGAACCCCATGCGAAGGTCCCGGCATCAGGGGGCTCTGAGAATCGGCTGTACCCTGGCACCAGGTTTGCCCGAGATCCAGGATGGAAGGAGGGGCACGAGCAAGATGCTGGCAGTGACAAGCCCACCATCCCCAAGACTCGCAGCATAAACTAAGGAGGGAGCGAGAAGAGAATCCGCGCCTCGGGGCCTCCCAGGGCCAGGCCCCAGGGACAAACCCGTTTGACTTTAGGGAAAGCCGTTTGCCTGGCCTGGGCTCCTTTGTGGGTGTCCTGGCCCCTCCCCTGAGCAGTTGAAGGGCAGCCATCAAGTTCCCTGGCTCCTATGGCCCAGGACACTCAGCTTTCCCCTCCTCTGAGAGGCTAGTCCTTAACCCCCCCGCCCCCCACTCACAGGGCGGGAGCTGGCCGGCTGCGGGGCCTCCCACCCAGTATCCCAGGCCCACCTCTGTGCCTCCCTGACCGCACAGAGCACCCACGTTCTCTCCTCCTCCTCCAAGAGGAAGCGAAGCCTCCCGCTGGCAGCGCAGACGGGGTTAAGGGGACCGAGGCGCGGGCAGGGCGCGGCGGCAGGCAGTTCCAGTCACTGTCAGGCTCCGGAGGCACCACCATGATCTGGAATCGCCTTAAACACTCGGACACAGACACACGAGCACATGAGGAGCGGCTCCATTCCCACCAGCCCTCCGCTTCCTCCCTCAGCCATGTCTGCAGAGGCCTCGCTCCCCGGCTCTTCCGGCGTCAAGCGGAATGAACCTTCGTGGCCCTCGGAGCGACTGGGCTCGTAGGTGGGGAAGGCCCGCCCGCCGCCCACTCACCGTGGACACAGGTCTCCCACCGTCTGCAGAGGCCGTCTTCCAGCGAGCACCCTGGGGGGACAGGAAACAGGGGGTCAGGCCTCGGAGCAGCTGTGAGCTGGCCTCCGCTCCCGGCACACGCAGGTCACCTGGGAGCCAGAGCGCCCGGCCCCAGTGGGTGCGAGGCCCACGCACACACCCCGTCCCTCCGGCCGTCTGCCTGGGACCTTCCAGGGGACAGCTGGGGGTGTGAGGCGCACCTTCTCTGCAGACACCTTCTTTGGCGAAGCCTCTGGGGCCAGGCCTGTGGGGCTCTGTGCGCACCGTCACTCACAGGCCCTCCTGTGCCCACCCACCGTGTGCACGCCCCATGCAGACATGCCTGCCTTGTTCCAAGCATAGAAAGAGGAGGCAGAGGGAGACACGTGTGCAGAGGAGAGACAGACAGACAGGTGCAGATCCCACCAGGGACCACTGTGCAGGGTCATCCGTCAGAGGAGGCGGACATCCTGCCCTGTGCTCTAGTCCAGCTGTCGCCAACCAGTGGTCCCTGAGGTCCGAAAGGTTGGGGACCGCTGCTCTAGCCCATCCTCTCCCCATCACCATCCATCCCCCGCCTCTCCACCTCCTCCCTCCCTCCCCGCCTGCTGTCTGGGTCCATGATTCTTTCTCTTCCTTTCTTTTATGTTCAACCCTCCCCCCGCCCAACAGCCCCACCAGAGCTGCCTGCCAGCTCTGTCCATGAGTCTGTCTCTATTTTGCTTGTTAGTTCAGTTTGTTCAGTAGATTCCACATATGAGTGTGATCATGTGACTCTTGTCTTTCTCTGACTGACTTATTTCACTTAGCATGATACTCTCAGGTCCCTCCCTGCTGCCTCACAGGGTAAGAGATCCTTCTTTTTCACACCTGCAGAGTGTTCCGTGGTGTAAATGCACCGCAGCCTTTCTATCCACTCGCCTACTGAGGGGCACGTGGGCTGCTTCCAGACCTAGGCTGTTGTGAATGACGCTGTGTTGAACATAGGGGCGCACAGGTTCTTTCAAATTAGTGTTTGCGGTTTCTTCGGATAAATTCCCAGAAGTGAACGGCCGGGCCATAAAGCAGTTCCACTTTTAGTCTTTTGCGGTAACACATGCTGCTCTCCACCGGGCATCCTGAGGCAGAGAAGGGACAGCGTGCGTCCACCGGGGGAGCCAGGCGGTGAGGCCACAGGGCCCTGACCTATGTTCACACCCGCCCAGGAGGCGCGGAGCCACGGAAGTCCCGGCTTCCTGGCGGCGGCCTGACTGCTCCTGCCTCTCCAGCTGACGGCGCCTCTTCATCCAGCAAGACTCTCCCCACAACTTGAAGCGAAAGCTCCATTTTCCCAGGACAATGTGCTCTCGTGGAAATCGCGTTTCCTTTTTCAGTCTCCCTTTAACACATCTCACCTACGTCACCCCTGCAACTACCAGGTCCTCAGCTCCACTCGTCCCCCCGCCACCTTCTCACTGGTGACCACAGCCCTCCAGAGAGCGACGAAGAAACGGGCAAACAACCTAAAGGCAATCTGCACGGTGGACAGTGGGGGAGACTAGCTCCCCTCTGTTCCCCAAAAGCAGTGACTGAGAGAAAGTTACTCGCCCGCCCGGCCTCACCATCAGGGGCAGGAGAGGCAGGACCAAATTGTCACCTCAGAGACTGCTGGGCCTCCAGGAGATACCCCAGGACGCCCTCCAGGAGCCAGCACACCCCAGGCCCCTCTCTGGAGCTGGAGCAGCCCGGAGCCCTGCAAGGGCCAGAGAGCCTGAGGAGGCAGCGAGCTGCGGACCCGCAGGCACAGTCAGGTTCTGTGCCTGTCAATGGGATGGAAGAAGGTTCTCAACGCAATGAGCTCCCCAAGCCCTGCAGCACCCCAAACGCACACAGCACTAGTGCCACCCCAGGAGCCAGAAGCCCCCCAGCACGCTTTTCTTTAACCAGAGCAGCAGGCCCTGACACCTCCCAGCCAGGCTCAGAGCTCCCTCCTCCTCCTCCTGAGAGCTCCCTCCCACCTCCCAGCCAGGCTCAGAGCTCCCTCGCCCTCCTCCTCCTGAGAGCTCCCTCCTCCTCCGCCTCCTGAGGGCTCCCTCCTCCTCCTCCTCCTCCTGAGGCCTCCCTCCTCCTCCTCCTCCTGAGGCCTCCCTCCTCCTCCTCCTCCTGAGGCCTCCCTCCTCCTCCTCCTCCTGAGGCCTCCCTCCTCCTCCTCCTCCTGAGGCCTCCCTCCTCCTCCTCCTCCTGAGGCCTCCCTCCTCCTCCTCCTCCTGAGGCCTCCCTCCTCCTCCTCCTCCTGAGGCCTCCCTCCTCCTCCTCCTCCTGAGGCCTCCCTCCTCCTCCTCCTCCTGAGGCCTCCCTCCTCCTCCTCCTCCTGAGGCCTCCCTCCTCCTCCTCCTCCTGAGGCCTCCCTCCTCCTCCTCCTCCTGAGGCCTCCCTCCTCCTCCTCCTCCTGAGGCCTCCCTCCTCCTCCTCCTCCTGAGGCCTCCCTCCTCCTCCTCCTCCTGAGGCCTCCCTCCTCCTCCTCCTCCTGAGGCCTCCCTCCTCCTCCTCCTCCTGAGGCCTCCCTCCTCCTCCTCCTCCTGAGGCCTCCCTCCTCCTCCTCCTCCTGAGGCCTCCCTCCTCCTCCTCCTCCTGAGGCCTCCCTCCTCCTCCTCCTCCTGAGGCCTCCCTCCTCCTCCTCCTCCTGAGGCCTCCCTCCTCCTCCTCCTCCTGAGGCCTCCCTCCTCCTCCTCCTCCTGAGGCCTCCCTCCTCCTCCTCCTCCTGAGGCCTCCCTCCTCCTCCTCCTCCTGAGGCCTCCCTCCTCCTCCTCCTCCTGAGGCCTCCCTCCTCCTCCTCCTCCTGAGGCCTCCCTCCTCCTCCTCCTCCTGAGGCCTCCCTCCTCCTCCTCCTCCTGAGGCCTCCCTCCTCCTCCTCCTCCTGAGGCCTCCCTCCTCCTCCTCCTCCTGAGGCCTCCCTCCTCCTCCTCCTCCTGAGGCCTCCCTCCTCCTCCTCCTCCTGAGGCCTCCCTCCTCCTCCTCCTCCTGAGGCCTCCCTCCTCCTCCTCCTCCTGAGGCCTCCCTCCTCCTCCTCCTCCTGAGGCCTCCCTCCTCCTCCTCCTCCTGAGGCCTCCCTCCTCCTCCTCCTCCTGAGGCCTCCCTCCTCCTCCTCCTCCTGAGGCCTCCCTCCTCCTCCTCCTCCTGAGGCCTCCCTCCTCCTCCTCCTCCTGAGGCCTCCCTCCTCCTCCTCCTCCTGAGGCCTCCCTCCTCCTCCTCCTCCTGAGGCCTCCCTCCTCCTCCTCCTCCTGAGGCCTCCCTCCTCCTCCTCCTCCTGAGGCCTCCCTCCTCCTCCTCCTCCTGAGGCCTCCCTCCTCCTCCTCCTCCTGAGGCCTCCCTCCTCCTCCTCCTCCTGAGGCCTCCCTCCTCCTCCTCCTCCTGAGGCCTCCCTCCTCCTCCTCCTCCTGAGGCCTCCCTCCTCCTCCTCCTCCTGAGGCCTCCCTCCTCCTCCTCCTCCTGAGGCCTCCCTCCTCCTCCTCCTCCTGAGGCCTCCCTCCTCCTCCTCCTCCTGAGGCCTCCCTCCTCCTCCTCCTCCTGAGGCCTCCCTCCTCCTCCTCCTCCTGAGGCCTCCCTCCTCCTCCTCCTCCTGAGGCCTCCCTCCTCCTCCTCCTCCTGAGGCCTCCCTCCTCCTCCTCCTCCTGAGGCCTCCCTCCTCCTCCTCCTCCTGAGGCCTCCCTCCTCCTCCTCCTCCTGAGGCCTCCCTCCTCCTCCTCCTCCTGAGGCCTCCCTCCTCCTCCTCCTCCTGAGGCCTCCCTCCTCCTCCTCCTCCTGAGGCCTCCCTCCTCCTCCTCCTCCTGAGGCCTCCCTCCTCCTCCTCCTCCTGAGGCCTCCCTCCTCCTCCTCCTCCTGAGGCCTCCCTCCTCCTCCTCCTCCTGAGGCCTCCCTCCTCCTCCTCCTCCTGAGGCCTCCCTCCTCCTCCTCCTCCTGAGGCCTCCCTCCTCCTCCTCCTCCTGAGGCCTCCCTCCTCCTCCTCCTCCTGAGGCCTCCCTCCTCCTCCTCCTCCTGAGGCCTCCCTCCTCCTCCTCCTCCTGAGGCCTCCCTCCTCCTCCTCCTCCTGAGGCCTCCCTCCTCCTCCTCCTCCTGAGGCCTCCCTCCTCCTCCTCCTCCTGAGGCCTCCCTCCTCCTCCTCCTCCTGAGGCCTCCCTCCTCCTCCTCCTCCTGAGGCCTCCCTCCTCCTCCTCCTCCTGAGGCCTCCCTCCTCCTCCTCCTCCTGAGGCCTCCCTCCTCCTCCTCCTCCTGAGGCCTCCCTCCTCCTCCTCCTCCTGAGGCCTCCCTCCTCCTCCTCCTCCTGAGGCCTCCCTCCTCCTCCTCCTCCTGAGGCCTCCCTCCTCCTCCTCCTCCTGAGGCCTCCCTCCTCCTCCTCCTCCTGAGGCCTCCCTCCTCCTCCTCCTCCTGAGGCCTCCCTCCTCCTCCTCCTCCTGAGGCCTCCCTCCTCCTCCTCCTCCTGAGGCCTCCCTCCTCCTCCTCCTCCTGAGGCCTCCCTCCTCCTCCTCCTCCTGAGGCCTCCCTCCTCCTCCTCCTCCTGAGGCCTCCCTCCTCCTCCTCCTCCTGAGGCCTCCCTCCTCCTCCTCCTCCTGAGGCCTCCCTCCTCCTCCTCCTCCTGAGGCCTCCCTCCTCCTCCTCCTCCTGAGGCCTCCCTCCTCCTCCTCCTCCTGAGGCCTCCCTCCTCCTCCTCCTCCTGAGGCCTCCCTCCTCCTCCTCCTCCTGAGGCCTCCCTCCTCCTCCTCCTCCTGAGGCCTCCCTCCTCCTCCTCCTCCTGAGGCCTCCCTCCTCCTCCTCCTCCTGAGGCCTCCCTCCTCCTCCTCCTCCTGAGGCCTCCCTCCTCCTCCTCCTCCTGAGGCCTCCCTCCTCCTCCTCCTCCTGAGGCCTCCCTCCTCCTCCTCCTCCTGAGGCCTCCCTCCTCCTCCTCCTCCTGAGGCCTCCCTCCTCCTCCTCCTCCTGAGGCCTCCCTCCTCCTCCTCCTCCTGAGGCCTCCCTCCTCCTCCTCCTCCTGAGGCCTCCCTCCTCCTCCTCCTCCTGAG